AAACCCCTTAACCCCTAAACCGCTAAACCCCTAAACCCGTAAGCCCCTAAACCCCTAAACCCCTAAACCCCTAAACCCCTAATCCCCTTAACCCCTTAACCCCTAAACCCCTAAACCCCTAAACCCCTAATCCCCTAAACCCCTTAACCCCTAAACCCCTAAACCCCTAAACCCCTTAACCCCTTAACCCCTAAACCGCTAAGCCCCTACACCCCTTAACCCCTAAACCCCTAAACCCCTAAACCTTTCTGCAGGAGCTGGGTCTCGGCCCTTTGCTCGATCGCCAAGTCGGGCAGCTCTCCTTCATGGGCTCAGGGAACCTGGGTTGAGGGCTTAGGGTTTAGGGTTTAGGGTTTAGGGTTTAGGGTTTAGGGTTTAGGGTTAGTCCTTTAGGGTTTTAGGGTTTTAGGGAACCCGCAACCCTACTTGGAGGCCCAGGGGACTTAGTAAGTCGGTTATAAGTAGGGTTATAATTGAGGTAACCCCAGTTAGGGTACTTTTACCTCGACTTATAACCTACTTACTAAGTCCCCTGGGCCTCCAAGTAGGGTCTTTTAATACAGCATCTGTGAACGTCCTAAAGCCTCATAAACGTCATAAAAGCCAAAAAGGCGCATGCACGCCTTCCCAAACCGGTCTATCCGTAACCCTATAAGCCCTATACGAGCTGATACATCCTTTTGAATTACAAGACCGCTTAATATAGGGGCCGAAATAGTTGCCACTACCATTTTGTGGGCTCCTTATTATAATTCCTATTCTAATTATTAAGGCCCCTATATGATGCTCCGGGAACCCTAATCCCTAAACCCTAAACCCTAAACCCTAAACCCTAAACCTAAACCCTAAACCGGAAACCCTAAACTCACAGACCAAGGTCCTTGAGTGGAGGCGAGGAGCGTCGCGTGGCGCTTGCTGCCGCGCTGGCGGGATCGGGGGAGAGTGTGATGTGGGTAGTTCTCTAATTTCGGGTTTATTTTGGGGTCCCTTAAAGGGATCTATGAGGGTTTCTACAGGGCTTCTATAAGGGTACTATAAGGGTTTCTATTTGGGTAGTTCTCTAAATTCCGGTCCCTTTGAGGGTCCTTTTTGTAAGAGTGCTGTAGTATAGTGGGGACCCAAAAAGGGGCCCTAATTTAGAGAACTACCCATGTGGCCCCGAAAGAAGAGAAAGGGTTTAGGGCTTCAGTGTTTTCAGGGTTTAGGGTTGAGGTGAAGCTTTTTTGGGTCAAGATTCCGGTTTGGTTACCATTTGTCATGTCAAGGTACATAGTTAGTGCTTTGATAACTCTACCAGAGGTTTTGGGGGCCTCAACCCTATAACGATCAAAGTAACAACCCCCTTATTCGGGCCCAGAAACAAAGTGCGCTCTGTAACCGGTCTAAATTAAAGCAAAATACTGAACTCGAAGCCCAATACACAGTATATCGTATATGCTAGAAGCAGCTGCGCAGGCATCCTTGAATTTGTTTGGCTTTACTTGAGTCTAAGCTGTGTAAGGAATAACTTGTCTCAGGGGGATACTGGATACTGACTGTAACAAACCCGAACTCTAGACGCTTCTACTGAACCTCGAAATAGCTTATAGACGTTGTTTAAGAGGTGGTGTTTTTAATTGGGCATTCAGTAACCAGCAAGCCCTGCAGTTTCACGAATTTCGCGCCTACCCCCTCCCCGGTCCTCCAAGGTCAGATCCCCTGTGCCCAGAGTTTCTAGTTTAGGGATGTTAAGGGCTCAGAGCTTGGGCTCAGGATTGGTTTGGTTTTAAGGTAAAGGGCTTGGGGCAAACTATGGCAACACACCCTGTAAAATATAATCAAGACCGATGTAGAAGCGGCACATAAGCCCTAACCCGAAGGTACGAAAAGCTTGTACACAAATTCTGCACTCCATCAAAAACTCCAAAAGACTTACACTTCAAACCCTACACCTACCATTCGTTCCTAACCCCAAACCCTCCAAGGTACCCTTCAAGTAACCCTGCGTGTGAAGCTAAATTGAACGCTGAAGAGGTACGGCAATACTGCACAACTTTCTTCGAACCCATGAACCCAGTGCGAAGCTTGAAGGTGGACCTTCCAAGCACCGACTTGCTGATCTTGGATGAGCCCTTGCTGCTGCAAGGGGGAGGGGTTTAGGATTTAAGATTTTAGGGTCTAGTACAGGGTTTAGGGTTTAGGGGGAGATGCTGTTTCGGAAGAGCACGGCGGTTTGCTTCCAGGAATTTGCGCTTATAAGCGTTTAAGGATTTTTCGGTTGGAGGCTTTAGGGCTTTAGGGTATCTAGGGCTTGAAGGATTCAATAGCAGGGCTTCGAGCTTGGTCTGACCGAGGGTTTAGGGTTTAGGGTGTATTGGATCATTCTTCGAGCTTTCAGGGGCAGTGCTTCGGCTTTGACACGTCACGTCGAAGCCTCCGGTCCAGATGAGATTGACGGACGCGTCCCTGAATTGCCTACTGTACGACAACGGCTTGAGCAGGACAAGCGTGTTTTCTTCAACGGGGACCTGACCAAGACGTTCGGGAAGAAGTGTAACTTGCGGCTGGAGGGAGTGCACGGCACGAAGACAGACCCTCGGAAGATGCTTCTGATGAAGCCAAATGGGAAGACGGTCCAAGCCGGTCATACACGAATGCATGGGCATCTTCGTGTATGACAGAAAACGAGGTGGTAGCAGCTGGTAGCGATGAGAACGGCATTACTGGAGCTGCAGCCAAAACCTTTGTGAATGTGTACCGTCTACCCCAAAGCGGCCCCTGCTGCCGTGTCCGCAGCCGGAAAAGCTTCAAAACGCTGGGGTCATGACATGATTAACCAGAACCTATAAATCGTAGACCTTGTTCCAAGCCGGATTCGTCGCCTCCGAAACTTAAACCGTTCCTGGGATGTGGACCTTCAGTCATGTCTTGGGGGGCATGGCTTATGGTTTATAGCATTCCGTAGACCTGCAGCTTTGGGATTTCAAGGTTTAGGCGAATGCATCTGAGGCCAACCAACCATCTCTCCGCGGAAGGCTGCGAGTTTCTCCAGGAATCTCGGGCATGCTTCACGGTTTTACATGGGTTGTAGCGTTTTAAGGTTTACGGCTTGGATTGCGGGATTCGGGGTCAGGAGCTGTTCGTAGCATGTTTTTCTTGATGGTTGTTATCAAGATTATTGCTGATGCTGCATCAAATGTTTTTGGTTACTGGAATGAAGGTTGATGATGCCTAATTAGGGTTAGTGTCAGCATCAGAACCACTACATCTTGTGACGGTTGTTACTTATTGCGCACTTTGGATTTGGATGGCTTCGGCCGTTTAGTATAGGCGTCTTGGGGTTCGCATCTAATCCAAAGGAAAGGTTGCAGAACGTTCGGAGGTCCAGTAGTTAGTTCATAGCCTGTTACAGTGTTGGTTGCGCGTAGCAGTGGCAGAAACTCCCAAGCCCAACTTTGTAAAAGGGTATGGCCACAGAACAACCCAAGCCCGAACTGAACCGCTGGTTCGACATGAGCTAAACCCTCTCATGGCGCTGATGCCTCTCATGCTTTGGAGCATCGCAGTTTCAACAGCAAGGCATGGACCAAACATCGTTCTCTCCGTGAAATGTACGAAATCCGTTCTGAGTGTGGTGGTGCAGCTGGGGACTACCGAAGAGGTTCAAGTTTCCGGGGTGCCGGTATAAACGCGTTCAGGGTTCTTGTGACGCTTGTTTGGGGACCCTCAACCTTTAAGCTTGAACATTATATGTTTCCCTATACAGCAAACCCGAGGCACGTGTAACCCTCAGCCTTGAAGCAACTGCTGCCCAGGAAACGCTCACCTCTGCTCGCGATGTCAGTCTCATTCTAGTGCCCCTGGGACGAACTATGGAAGATGACTGCCAAGGTCTATAGGCTTGAGTTTGGTGTGCCGTGGCATGCTTTGCATTTGCCTGCAGCAGATACGAAATATCTGATGTTGTATGTCACAACCCTCAGCCCTAAATCCGAAACCCATGCCAAAGTTCTTCCCCATGGTTTAGGCACCTTGACTTCGCAGGCTGTCAAATTGTGTGTTGATGGCGTCGGGTCGGCCTAGTGACTTTTATTCTGCACTCGGCGTTAAGGGTGTAGGGCTTAAGGTTTGGAAAGTTTAGGGTTCAATGAGGCCCCTGGATTACTTGAAACTGATCATCTTATGAAGTCTGGAGCCCTTGAGCCGGTCCAAAGTGTTCGCCTGAGGCCATACGCCCCCGGCCCCAACGGCTTAATGTAGAGGCTTTTTCTAGGGAGGAATGTAGAGGCCTCAATAATTAGAATAGGGCTTTTTTCGGGGGCATCCTTATTATAGTTATGGTATAAGATACCCCCAAACCCTAGTCGACTTCTTAAGGCCCCAATATTACAGCCTTGATGATTCCGTAGCCTTGAAACTCTATGAAGCCTTACAGCCTGAACCCTAAAGCTCTGAACCCACAAGCCCAGAGCCCTTACCTCAACCTATCCATTAGGGACTAGGGCAGCAGCACTTGAACACAACACCTGAAGTATAAACCTTAAGCCTGTGGAAATACCCCTTTTGTAGGGACAGGACAATTAAGTATAAAAAGTTGATGTATGTGCTTTGAGGGGGCTCTACTAGCTTCGAGTCCCTATAGTGCCCTATGAGATTCCCTTAGTCTCCCTGCATGATTATACTATACTCGTACGCTAAACCCTAAACCCTAAACCCTAAACCCCACCCTAACAAAAGAGAATGGCCTTCTACCACCATGGAGAGCAGTCGCAGCTTCCGACTGAGGTCGCACGACCGCTACTTCCTTGACCGGGTCTGTCCGGGCCTTACGGAGACATGCAAGGTTGAGGGCTCAGGGTTTTGGGCTTAGGGTTTAGGGTTTAGGGTTTCTTACCCCAGGGCTCAGGGTTTGAGTTTGCATCTTTGGGGGTTTTAGGGGGATGGTTGGAGTCTAGGGGTTGAGGACGACATGAGAGCTGTGGGCTTTGAGTACCAATCTGCATGACATGAGACCTATGGACCCGTCTCCACCTACTTAGGCTAATGCTTGTGGCTCCTTTCAGCTGTTCTCGGATGTGGAAATCTGAGGTCCCAACCGCCCACAAATGGGAGTGTAGTAACTGGGGCCCTGAACACTGAACCCTAAACTCTAAACCTCAACGCTTAGTTCCTCGAGTTTTGAAACCCTGCGCCCTTTTGAATGTTTGGGGTTTGTGGGTACGGAGACCCAAAAGCTCGCACGCCCCGACCGGCTGGCGAAGAGATGCGACTTTGAGGTTCATCGTTTTAAAGCTTTGGGCGAACATGCGCTATAGAGTTTAGGGTTTAGGGTCTAGGGTCTAGGGTTTAGGGTTTATGTAGGGTTATAGTATATGCTCGTCCCTAAGGTAAAGTATATGCTCGTAACTATGAGGTTTCAGCTACATTTCGCGCTTACGAGGTTGAGGAGTATCTGGATTTATGATGTGATTATCCACATAGCTACTCTTTTGACAGGGAGGCCCCTTTGAGAAACAAGGTCTTCCTCCAAAGCCTGCAACTCTGAACCTGAAGCCCACTAGGGGACCCTGGCTTAGATCAGCCTCCACGCTGGCATGAGGTGACGAAATCTTCGAGATCGACGGAAATGGGGAGACTTTCAGCCATCCAGGACTGCCTGAGAAAAAGTCCTTGCCTGATGTCATGCAGTAGTAGAGAAGTGTAAAAGATTGGTAGTGACTCTTGTTGAGGTGAGAGCTTTGTACTTAGATCGTGCGATCTGGAGGCAACCCTAAACCCTAAACCCCCATAATCCCAAACACCCACGCAGTCCTGAAGCCGAGATTTCGAAGACAGGAATGAGTACATTAGGAGGATACCGTACATATATACTTATGTTATATACATCTATACATCTATACATCTATACATCTATACACATATACACACATATTATATACAGATAACACATATCTATGCACATACATATACATATACATATATATATATATGTGTGTGTGTGTATACATACATGCATGCGCGCATGCATACATACATACATACATACATACATACATACATACATGCATACATACATTTGAAATACATACCTACATAATTGTATACATATATACATATGTACCCCTTACGAACGGACAATACCTTTAGATATGTCGATATATATATATATATATATATGTACACAAATGTTTATGCATGTACACATGTGTGTGTGTGTATGTATTATGTATGTGTGTGTGTGCATATATATATATATACACATACAGTACATGTTACTTGTTTGTTTATCACGTTACATTTGGTTATTCGTTGTGTGCTTAATACTGCAATGTATGATACAAGAAGCTCTACAGAAGCTCTACCGAATTCATCACAGAAGCCCATCCGTGTTGGCGGTACTCCGAAGACCCCTAAACCCTAAAGCCTAAACCCTAAACCCTGTCCGAAGATGCAGGTAGCTGGGAGCTTTTCTTGAAGAGAAGAGCAGAGAGGTACCAGGCGCGAGCGCGTTGAGTTGCAACTACCGTTTCGAGTTTAGGGTTTAGGGTATGTAGGTCTTCCGAGCAATTTCCAGAACAGGCTTACAGGGCTCCTTCGAGGCTTCTAGAGGGTTTTTTCTATCAAGTTTTAGGTTGTGATGCTTTAGGATTACATTTGCGGTTCTACGGATTCGTTTGTTTAAACATCCCATGAGTGAAATCGAACGCCAACCATAAGACTATTATGTGGACGATAAGGCCGGTAGGGGTAGGATTCTTGAAACGGAAGGATTTAGGGCATGTAGGGTTCTGGTCCTCTTGAAGGTTCATGTGTTAGTATAGGAGTACAAGAGCAGTTCGGGGAAAAAGGGTAAGGGCATCGCCTTGCAAAGTGTACAAATGGTGCTTTTGCAATAAGTTTTTCAGTGAAATAGCTATCTTAACGAGAACTGGTAAACCCCAAACCCTAAACTTTATATCAGGAGTATAGCACCCCAAAACGGTTAAAGGTTGCCTGCTCTACTATTGGGACAACCCCTACAGCTACCATCGTAGAGTTTAAACCTTAACCATGGACTACGCCCTATGCCCCAAATCCAAAGACCACACATTGCAACCCCCGTCCCACAAGAAACTAAAGTCTTGAGCAGCGACATTCATGGGAGCACTGGTTATAAGCAGAAGACCAGAAGAAGCAAGCAGCAGCAACAGCAAGGAAGGCATTATCAACTTGACCACAGCCATGCAAAACCCTGTTCTGTCGATCAAGGCCCCCAGAAGTAATCCTACATTAGAACACCAAAATGCCCTGTCAGCACCCGGTAAAGCCCTTTAAGCACCCTATAGAATCCCGAGTATACCTACGTATCAACCCCCAAAAAGTTATTGTGTCGCAGCATTCGGAAGAGGTTAATTGTGGCCTCCGAAAGTCAGTGTCACTAATGACTAACCCTAACGAAGCCCCTCGAATTCCAAAGCCTTCAGGGTTTAGGGTCCAGCCAGTTCAGCATGACATAGAACGGCTGAAAACCCCTAACAGCACGAAAACCTCAGTCATGGCACTGAAGCCCAACAGCGCTGCACCCTGCGGCCCCTCACACTTCCACCCTAAAAACCCCAAGCCCTTAACCCTAAAATCCTAGACTCTCAGACCCTAAATCGTTAAATCCTGCTGTAACTTCCTTCTTTCCAGAGACAATCAAGGCACAGACCTTCAAGTACAGAGGCATGTATGCAACTATCGAGGCATGTAACATACGGTTTTCGGTGCTTTCCTACAAATAGGACATTGAACGCTCTAGCTTAGTCAGAGGCTCGCGCCAGCGAAGTGCAAGATGCGAAGGCCGAGTGCAAAGCCCTTGTCGCTTGGGGGCTTTGTTTCAGGGCTTGGGTGTTGCTTCACATTGATAAAGAAAACTGGGCTTTGGAGTACCATACTTTAATACTTTTTTTGGGACCTGTTCCTTAAAGGAACCATTATGAAATAAAAGTCTATACTTTTTTCTCCCTGGTTACTTCAAAGCCCAGAAAAGGAGCCCTTTTACTGCGTGCTGTCTTGGCATATGGTTTCCGATTTTGAGGCTTTAATTGCACCAAGGCTTTGATTTGGGCTGGTGGTTCTGGGCGTTTGCTGGTGGACTGATTCTTTGCCGGAGCTGCATACCCTAGACCCCAAGTCGTAGGATCAGGTTGTGGTCCTTGGCTTGGAGTTCACCCTACACCCTAGGCTCAAGGTTAGGCTTGGGGGATCGTGGTGATGGGCCTTGGAGGAACCGTAACCTCCTAAACCTCAACAGCAAGGCTTCAGGTATCGGTCCTTGCGGCCTTCCTCTCGGTGGCCGGCTTGGCCCAGGGCTGTCGGCTTCAGGAATCCTTGGTTGGGTTACAAGTTGTTGCTGCCAACGGCTCGGGTTTAGGGCTTAGGGTGTAGGGTTTAGGCTTAGCCCTACACCCTAAAGCCTCGACCCTAACTCCAAACGATTCAGGAGAGTGGGTCTCTCAAAAACGCCTTGCGGGGGAGCGATGCATCAAAGTGCCACCACCGAGACAGCCTCTTCAAGCGACTACGACTCCAGGCCCCCTAAACCCTGAACCCTAAACCCTAAACCCTGAACCCCTTCGAGCGAGCAACAGCTCGGCGACGTCTTGACATGGTAAGGCGCATTTCGTGCGCCGCACATCGGTGGGCTGAGCAGCTGAAGCGAAAAATATTCTCTGTGTGTGTGTGTGTACAAGCCATCGCTGCGGCACTTTTACCTTCTTTGGGGTTTAAGGATCTAGAGCTTTATAGGCGTAGGGTTTAGGGTAGTAGGTTTAAGGGTCTAGAGCTTTATAGGCTTAGGGTTTAGGGTAGTAGGGCTTCAACTCTCAGCGGTACAGGGCATACCATGGATTGCCTTCCATCCTTGCAGCGCCTTTGTCTTATGCGTCTGGCCTGCATCGACGTCCTAAACTGAAACACCCTAAACCCTAAACCCTAGGTTTAGGCTTTAGGGTTTAGGGATTAAGGTTTAGGGTAACACGCCTCAATCTTCGAAGTTCAGGCAACTCGCTCAACAACCGTAATTTTACCCTAAACCCCATTCTGTTGTGAAAAGGGACCAGTTAAGGATTCGGGCTTGGGGTTTTCCATAAAGACGCTCACGTCAACTCCGAGACATCCAAGATGAGAATATAGGGGCCATAATAATTACCTATACTATTTTTTTTTGGGGGGGGGCTCCTTATTATACTTATAGTATAGTATGCCACAAAACCCTATTCTAATCATTTGGGCCCCTACATTATAGGTCTGCCGGTTGCATAATTTGCAAGGTTTATTGTTTAGGAGTTTAGGGTGAGGGGATACTGGACATCCACTCCGCCGTACGGTTCGAAACAGTCATACACCCTAAACCCTAAACCCGTGGACTGTAGGGTCAGAGGTTTCAGCAGTTCCTCACACTCTAAACCGTGAATCCTCCTAGATCAGGCTAGTTGAAAGTTAGCTTCAAAAAACCATAAGCCCATCAGAAAGACCAAACCTTAGGGAACCCCCCTAAAACCCCTAAACCCTGAGCCCTAAAGAAAGCTTTCGCTTCCAAACCGCAGGTGCAACTTCGTCGTGCCGAAGCATGGGCGCGTCGCGGCGCCAGCGGCCGCGGCACGAAGAATCGGGCGCGGCCCCGGGTTGCTATGAGAGAGTTCCATGAGTTCTCGCCGCTTTTTTCCGGAGCCCCTGTTTGGCTTCGAATTGAGGGTTCGGGGCTGTGGTGTTTTGGGGTTTTGGGTGTGAGATTCCCATGTAACTCTAGGTCGAAGGACCCAGGTATCAGGGCTTTTGAGCCCAATACCATGCATAAGCTTAAGGGCTAGAGTTGAAGGTGTATAGGGTTCAGAAGATATGTATAAGGCTTCTTTTCCAGGATCCGATCTTTTCGATTCGGTACACGGTCTGACGCCTCTGTGTTTCGATCGTCTTCATCATTGAATTCAACCACACTCTCTGTGATTTTGAAGAACCCTCAACCTTCTATGCATCTGCGAAAATCACTAATTTACGGATTTGTGGATTCTTTGGGCGCTTCGTTTTTGGGTCGGATGGTTTACTTACGAAGTTTCTAGGATGCAGCGACCTATAGGACTGAGGGTGCAGGATGCGTGGGTTCGTCTCGGGCTTGGGACTTCGGATTCATGGTTCATGGTGTAGGATCTGCGTTTAGGCTTTGGGGGTTGGATATAGAGGTCAGAGTATTCGGTAATAGTATTTACTTATAAGTCCCTTGTAAAGTATAACCTAGCCCAAGACCCTAAACCCTAAACTTAGAAGCTTGAGGCGCCCTCTTGGATGTGAAGATTTCGGGTGTGCTCAAGCTAAGTGATGCGCCCAGGGCCCAGATCGCGAAACCCTCGTTCTTCCAGCCTGTTATTGGTTTCTGACGGTTTAGGGTTTAGGGTTTATATCTCCAGTAGGCATGTTTTTGGCATGGTTTAGTTATAGAACATGTTGTGATCCTTATCAGTTCCAATACCATATCTCATTATGTGGTTCTTGTACTCGTAATCTCAAGACTCTTATGACCCTGCAGACCAGGATCCCAAAGATGTGAAGCCTAAACATTACACCCTCAACCCCTACACCCTGAACCCGAACCCCTAAAGTCAACCTCTAAACCCTACAGACCCGAAGCCCAAGGCCCAAACCCAAGGCCTCTAAACCCCAAGCCCCTCAAATCCGCAGATGTCCAGACCCTCCTCGAAAACCTCGAATCGAAGGCGCCGATGAACGCAGTGGATGACACCCTAAACCCTAAACCCTAAACCCTAAACCCTAAACCCTAAAACCGACTCGAAGGCGCAGATGAACGCCGTGGATGATCTGCGCCAAAGAGCCCAGAAGGTGGTGGCCGCGAACGATGGCAACCCGGACCTCGAGGACAAGATGCTGCAGGCTGGTAGTTTAAGGGCTTATTTTTAAATTTTTAAGGGTCTAGGGTTTAGGGTCTAGGGTTTAGGGTTTAGGGTGTAGGGTCCAGGAGTTAGGGGTTTAGGATTTAGGGTCTAGGGTTTAGGGTCTAGGGTTTAGGCTTGAGGGTGTAGGTTGAAGGCTGACAGGTGTAGTAGGGGTTGAGGTTCAAGGGGTTTACGGTTTAGCTTCCGGCTTACACAGTAGCACCATCAGTGTCACAGCCTTGTTATGATTGTAGGTTCCGCAAGTACGATCTCATGAACACCCTGCAGAGTCTTCATTCATGCATGGTTTACCTTGATAGTCCCCAGAAGGTTATACTATAAGAACGTCAGCTATAGTGTACCCCAGCCCTTTGTTCGAGGTATTAAGGCCACTATCTAGATATGAAGCCCGATGTAAGCTTCTATGTAGCAGTTTCATCGGAAACTTACATAAACCGTAAAACCTACATCCTAAGCCCCCTAAACCCTAAACCCTAAACCCTAAACCGACCCTAAGAGTGGAAATCCCCGAGTCTCTTCTCCGAGCTGCTACATGAAATTTTACGAAACTTCGCTCATGGATGGTTGGGTTTAGGGTTTAGGGGCTTAAATGAGCGTTTAGGCGTTTAGGGGTTTGTACGTAGGACCTTTAGGGTCTATTTGGGGATGGCCTTTCGGGTATCCTTGTCTGTACAGATTGAACTTCAAAATTCGAAATTTTCAGAATTCAAAATATTTTTCCTTTTTAAACTAGTACAAATTCAACAGGTTTTGAAATTTTGAATAAAAATGTGGAGTTCCAAGGTCCGGAGAAATTTCAATAGTTTTGAAATGTTGAAAATTTTGAAGAATTGAATCCAAAATTTCAAAAATTCAATTTTTCTTTTTTAAATCAGTAGAAAGTCAATAGTTTTGAATTCAATATTTTTGGAATTTTCAGAATTTTTGAATTTCCCTTGATTTAAGGCCCTCTGGTGATGCAGGCCCCTGGCGTGGCCGAACGATTTGTCAGCCAGCTCTTGATCTCTCCGAGCAGAACTGCCCTGGAGCTAGCCAACAAGATGAAGCAGGGATCTTACACACCTGTCGCTTGGGCCTTGATCGAATTTTTTTTGGGCTCACTATCCTTGAAGGGACGTAGCGGCCATAGAGATGTCCACTCGAGCTGATCGCAGATGGCGCAGATTGCAGCAGCGGCAGGAGGTACTAGCGCATGCATGCAGTGGAAGTGATGGTGATCCTATGTACACAACAAAATCGAACCCGATAACATAATCGTACTAGTAGCGAAACTCGCGTTATTCGAGTCGCCTATGTTTAAACGCACCGGCGCCACATCGCCCGGAGTTACAGGGTGTAGATTTGAGTGCTTGCGCTGCGAGATGTGATGGGCAGATGGCACAACTCCCAGTGGACCCGTCATGCCAGATGGGATCGGGAGGACAGTTGCCCGGTGTCACATGCCATACTGCGCATGATAACCACCATAGTAGTTACTAAGAAAGCTTGTTTTAAATCATCACATTTCTCTAGCAAGAAGACACTGATGATTGATGAACTAAATCCTGCATTACCCCTAATAAAGAACATACCATGATTCCCATGCACATTTTAGGGTTCTTCCGGTAGTACATGATATCACGACCATTCCGGTGGAGGAGGATGGCAGATGGCAGAACTCCCGGTGGACCCGTCACGCCAGATGGGATCGGGAGGACACTCTTCCTTCTCGGCCAGACACTGGTGGCACCGGGAGTGGAGCGACCACCAGGGAGGAGGTTCCATTATTGTTCAAAAAGAATGATCAACAAATTAAAACACTGTAGTTACCCAGAGAGCCCAATTATAATTACTTCTTAATTAAGGAATATGGTTTAGATTACAATAAGCTTCATATTATGGTTGAAGTTGTATACCTGAATTAAGTGGTATTAGGCTATTGCTGACACTCTGCTACACGAGTGCAATGCCTTTCGATTCTTGGGCGTGGGGACGTCTGGTGTGTAACACTGTGTATATGAAATCAACGGTGTGACTTGCGATAGCAATGCCGCAACCAACGTCAGGAGACTACAACAGATGCTTCGGATTCAGCGCATTCCGCATCGACCCGTGCTTCATCGACCCGTGCTGCGCCATACCCGGCCTCGACGCGCATTTCTCCGCACACTGTCTCGAGCTTGCAGAGTACTCGCTCCACTGCTGAATCTCGTCCAGAAAGTCTTTGTCCCTAAACCGTAACCTTAAGCCCTAAATCCCGAACGGAAGCAGGTTCTATATGCATATGCGGGAGATCCACGGGTTCAAAGGTTTAAAGATTAATCCAAATCTAGCCAACTATACAAGGAGCTCCGCGAGATGGCAATAGCTTTGGTTCAAGCTGCCTGGGGGCCACCACCCAGTCAGTGGAAGCGAGTGGAAAGTCGTGTCCAGGCATGTTTTCACACTGCGTTGTTTTAGAATCCCTGAACACTACCTAGAGGCTCAGACTCTACCCCCTTTGCAGGGTATCTAGTTTTATTTATTATAGAACCTATTATGCAGAGATGCAAGTACTTCAAAAGAAAGGTAGGGTAGGAGCATGTAGGCAAAATTTAAACCCGAAAGTCCAACCATAATCCACATACCTAACATGTATGCCCTGCAGCAAGCCATGACCAGTGAGAATTGACCCAAAGAATAATAAACAAGTGATAATTGCGCAGAAGCTCATGACGTCTTATCCGCAGTCATGAAAAGTAATAGCTTGCTGAAGTCTGTGAATTTACGCTCAATCTTAAACGTGGATTGTTCTTTGCATCTCGAATATGGACCTTATCTAAGGCTCCCTTCCGGGAAAGTTCTACTGGGCCAAGGTGGCTACAGGAGAAACCACATGGGCTGAGCCGCAGACACGTTGATCGCCTGGTGGTCTCGACATCTCATTTCATTAATTCATTCATCATCATCAGGAGCATGGAATCGTGATTTTGTCTTTGCCTAGCCATGCTGGCGTGGAGCAAGATATCACGGTTTCGTTATGCATCTGTACGTGTTCGCTCGATTTCAAGGAATCGTTTTCCTGGCTTGATCCTTTTTCCAAAGCTGGAGCTGACACACGGTGTGCAGGATGCACAGCACAGACCCAACAGACTTTTACTTATGCTAGCGTTGATCTGAAAACAGGTAAACATACTTAATATTTTGTTTATGTTTAGAATGTGAAGCGCATCGTGTGTGTTTGTCAGTTACAGCGACGCCTGCACTCACAACAAACCGGATGGCGTTCCACGGTGTACTCGCCCTGAGCCCCTAAATCCTGATCATCATCATCATCACCATCGGTATTATCACCACCGCCATCGTCATCAAGCATACTTAAGCTAAATGCTTTCGGCTTATAATGTACATCGCAGACGCCATCATGGAACGTACCGAGTTTTAGGTTGCGAAGGCTCTTTCTGCCAGCCCTTGGGCACTCAAGTTTTCGAGAAGCCGTCGTGCTGTGCCGGTTTTCCCAGATGTCTAGACGTTGCATCCTTAGACCCCTTTCAGCCGCTACACTTTCTACACAACTTAGGACGTTCAGATGTCCTTAAATCCTCAAATTCATAAGCACCCCAAACACGGAAATCCCGATATCATCACATCCGTTCATCCGTCAACCCCCGAAATCCTAAGACCTTCCAAACCTCTACACCGCCCAAAATACTAAACCACGAGACCACCAGGCTTCTGTACCGGCACTTTTGGCAGGGACGGAGAAGTCATACTATAATAAACCCGATGGCTTTACAAATCCCTGGATCATTGTCATGATGTCGTTGGTTATCGTCTTCGGCCTCGAACCCGAAAGCAGAAGATTTAGGAACTTTGGTTTATGTTTATAATGTGAAGCGCATATGTAAAGCCGTTGTGTACCGTAGTATGTTTTCGTTTGTCAGGCACAGCGACCTTGACTGCAGAACACAAAAGAACGCAGCATCAGTCTCTGGCTGCAGTTTTTGTGGAGCGCGGCTTCAGTCAGCAGCGTATTATCAGGCCATGTCACATATAGAGCTCTGTCCACATATCATTTGGACAATTCTTCGCAACTTTTTCTGTTAGGTATAGATCTCCGCCCACATACCATTTGGGCAATATTTCACAACAGTCATTTTTTCATTTGTTAGATATAGAGCTCCACTCACATAAGATGGAGCAAGATTCAAGCTGTTTTGCTTACGAAACGAGCTGTTCGCTACTGTTGGCGGCTGTGTAAGGCTCGATGCAGACTCATGCTTCCAGCATCCTGACAATTGCGTATGACATGATGAATCCGTGGGTTCATGGACTCGACATCTAGAGCATCCCTGATGGACATTCGGACAGGGCAACAGGGGGAGAGAAAGCAACAAAGGGCGCCCTGAAGGCCCTAAGCCGCCCTCACTAAATGCCATTAGGGGTCATAAGACAGTGATGCGGAGCATGGAAGGAGGGGTTTGCCTCGGCCAAAGACGGGTTGACACCTCGGGCAGAATGCACAGTCAAACATAGCACAGACCGGAAAGGATTTAGTTCATGTTAGAGGATATCTTCCAACACTCAAACATCATGACAACACGGATATTGCTTTGTGTCAAGGAGAGTATTTCTAGTGATGGTAGTTGTGTCCTGTTGGCTCAAGCATAAGCTAACCGTATCATCTTTGAGCGTGTGACCTTGTGAGCAGAGACAAGGCAACGACGATGTTATTTTGAGCGTGTGTCCTTGGTAGCAGACACAAGGCAACGACAGTGCCAACTTTGAGCGGTTGACGGAGCAGGGACAACGCAACGACTGTGTTGTTTTGAGCGTGTGACCTTGTGAGCAGAGACAAGGCAACGACTATGTTAGTTTGAGCGTGTGTCCTTGGTAGCAGACACAAGGCGACGACAGTGCCAACTTTGAGCGGTTGACCTTGTGAGCAGGCGCAAGGCAACGGCTGTGTTGTTTTAAGCGTGTGACCTTGGTAGCAGACACAAGGCAACGATAGTGCCC